TTCTGTAAATGATAAAGAAGCATCAAATGAAAATCAGAATATTAAAATTAGTATTTTATCATTATTTGGGTGAAGAAGGAATTTTGCGGGAACATGTTGAAGGCAGGAGTCATTCTAGTCTTCATAGTAATCATTCCACAAAAACAATATCTCCCTTTTTTCTCTAAGTATGTTTCCTCTTCTCTAAATACACATTATTTAAAAATTATGTTTTTTGGGGGGGGGTGAGGGGTGAGACCGGGGCTTACCCTGTGATGCTCTGTACTTTCTCCTGGCTTTGCATTCAGCGATCACTCCTGGTGGTGATGGGGACCATACAGAATGCTGGCAATTGAGTGTGGGTCAGCTGCATGCAAGTCAAGAGCCCTATTAGCTGCACTAATTCTTCAGCCCCCAAATTACCTAATTTTATTTATTTATTGCTTTTTTGGCTATCGAAGAGATTTGAGTAGAAGTCATGGATAATCTTCTCCATTGCCGTTCTGGAGGATGTGATGGATCCATCAGGACGTCGGAGGGCAGTCATCTTGGTCTTATAGTTGGCGAAGGACAGGCGGGCCTTACGAATACTTTTCCCAGCTTCTGCCGCATCTACCAGTACTTCTGCTCTTCTCGCTTTGAGGTCTTCCTTGATCGCATCTCTGCACTGCTTTGCAATCTCGGACGTTAGCTTGCGGTTGCCTGAGGCATGCGCCAAACCACGCTGGTGAATTAGCTCAAGAGTTTTCGAAGATAGGCGACTTTTTGTGGCTATCTCTCTCTTGGCGTTCCTCGCACATTCATGGAGGTGCTGAACCAGTCGATCGTATTCCTCATCAATGTTGTCAACAATGGCATCTTCCCATGTTGCCGCAATAGTACCAAAAAGTTCCCAGTTGGTGGTCATTCTGGGAGTTCTCTTTTTGAACTTTGCAGCCCTTTCTCCCCGCTCTGTGAAGTAGAATTTTGCACGAAGGAGACGGTGGTCCGATCCCGTTCGAAATTTTGGGACAACAGCGACATCAGTCAGGCAAAACCGTCGATTGAATATGATGTGGTCTATTTCGTTGTGGAATCGTCCAACATACCAAGTTCCACAGGATGGGTATGTTGTTCCCAACGTTCTCCCCTCCGAAATCCGACACGCCATTTCGTCGGTAAAGAAACAAACAGCACCTGGCCCAGACAAGGTCAGACCTGAACACCTGAAGAAACTGCCGTCAGTACTCATCAATACACTGGCTTGGCTCTTCACTCGCTACCTGTCTGAATGCAAGGTTCCGTCCCAATGGAAAACCAGCAGGACCGTACTACTGTTCAAGAAGGGAGACATCCATGACATTGGCAACTATCGCCCGATCTGCCTATTGTCTGTCATCTACAAGTTGTTCACTCGAGTCATCCTGAATAGGATTGGCAGAACATTAGATGAAGGACAACCATGCGAGCAAGCAGGGTTCCGCAAAGGATTCAGCACCATCGACCATATCCACACGATAACCAAGCTCATTGAGGTTTCTCGGGAGTTCAAGATGCCTCTCTGCTTAACGTTCATTGATTTAAAGAAGGCCTTTGATTCTGTTGAGACGGAAGCGGTCATTGAAGCCCTAGCCAATCAGGGCATTCAAGCCTAATACATCAGGATCCTCCGTGAGCTGTATTGCGGATTCACTACCAGGATCTCACCATTCTACAAAGAAGTGATCGTTGATGTCAAGAGAGGGGTGCGGCAGGGTGATACCATTTCACCGAAACTCTTCAGTGCCACCCTCGAGAACATCATGCGACGACTGGAATGGGAAGGAATGGGAGTGAAGATAGATGGTCGGCAATTACACCACCTCCGCTTTGCTGATGACATTGTTTTAATAACACCAAACATCAGCCAAGCGGCACAAATGCTGGCCGACTTTGACTGTGAGTGTGGAAAGGTAGGACTACAGCTGAATCTTACGAAGACAATGTTTATGAGACACAGCCTTGCTCCTGACGCCCCATTCGCTCTCAACAGAACGACCATCTCCGAATGCAACAGCTATGTGTACCTAGGTCGAGAGGTCAACATGACAAATGACCTGGCACCCGAGCTGCGCAGGAGGAAGAGAGCGGCTTGGAACGCCTTCAAGAACGTCGAAGAAATAGCTAAGAGGACGAAGAACCTCCGGCTCCGGGCACATCTCTTTGATTCCACTGTTCTTCCTGCATTAACATATGCCTCAGAGACCTGGCCCTACGCAAACAAGATGAGAACGCCATTCAGGTCTCCCAAAGAAGAATACAAAGAGCTATGCTTGGAATATCACGTTTCACTCAAATGAGAGAACGAATCCGGAGTTCTGACATCCGTCGATGATCAAGGATCAGGGACGCTGTCTCATTTGCCAAGGTGTCGAAAATCAGATGGGCTGGTCACGTAATGAGATTTAAAGACGACCGTTGGACTAGAGCTGTTACTGACTGGATTCCATGGGATGTCAAGAGACCGCGTGGCCGCCCACCTACCAGATGGTCAGACTTCTTCGTCAAGATCATGGACGATCGGTTTGAGGCTCTTCATATTCCCGGAGCGAACAGATGCCATTGGGCTACAGTAGCACGCGACAGGGACAAATGGAGACGTTACTGGCGCCCGCTCGAGCAAATCGACGACTAACGGGAAGTTAAGTGATTAAGTGATTGCTTTTTTGGATCACACCTGGCTATGCATAGGGGTTACTTACTCCTGGCTTTGCACTCAAGAATTACTCCTGGCAGTGCTTGGGTGAGCATATGGGATGCTGGGAATTGAACCTGGGTCGGCCGCGTGGAAAGGCAAACGCCCAACTCACTATACTATCACTCCATCCCCAAATTACCTAATTTTTCAAGGTGTCACTAGTTTCCAATATTTGTGGTGTCCTTAGATATGTTTTTAATTCCACTGTGGTCAGAGAGTTAAATTCTGTATGATTTAAACTCCAGTTTTGTTGGTGGTGGTGAGGGAGTTGGACCATACCAAGCACTGCCCAGGAGCTGTTCCTGGCTCTTTGCTCAGAAGTGACCCCTGGTGGTGCTTGGGGAACCATATGCTGCATCTCCACATCTGGATTCATATGATCGGGATCCACAGGATACAGTCAGTGGAATGCAAGTTAAGTACCTTAACCACTGTAATATCTATCTAGCTCTGATCTGTATTTTTTTCAGTTAATCTAGAACTGTTTACTATTCATAATATGGTCTATTTTGGAAAATGTCCCACATGCTTTGCAAAGAATGTATAACCCACTTTTGCTGGGTACTGCTATGCTCTCTCTCTATAAGTCATTTGAGGTTGGCTGATGTAGCACTGTCCTACTGTTGTTCATCAAGTTGGTGGAGGGGGCACCAGTAACATCTCCATTGCGAGAACTGTTGTTACTGTTTTCTTGGCATATAGAATACGCCACGGGGAGCTTGCCAGGCTCTCCTGTGTGGGCGAGATACTCTCAGTAGCTTGCCGGGCTCTCCTAGAGGGATGGAGGAATCGAACCCAGGTTGGACGCATGCAAGGCAAACACCCTACCCTCTGTACCTGTTAAAATTTTCTATCTCCTTATTGATTCTGTGTCTTTTTGTTCTTTTAAACACTGGGAAAGATTTTCAAAGGTCCCGCTACAATATGTTTGTCTATATATTTAAAGAGAATTATCATATCTCTTTAAATTATAATATAATTTTTTTTAACCTTAAGTAAAACTAGTAACAACAAAGTGTGGAGCTCACTACCTACATAGAAATAAAATGTGTGGTGAGGGCACAATAGCACCAAGAGGGAAGGATGGCAACAATGAAAGTATATAATTGTTTCTTATACTATATGTAAAGTGGTATATCACTTGAATATAGGGTGACTGAATATACCTTATCACTTATCACTTAATCACTTAAATTCCCGTTAGTCGTCGATTTGCTCGAGCGGGCGCCAGTAACGTCTCCATTTGTCCCTGTCACGTGCTAGTGTAGCCCAATGGCATCTGTTCGCTCCGGGAACATGAAGGGCCTCAAACCGATCGTTCATGATCTTGACGAAGAAGTCTGACCATCTGGTAGGTGGGCGGCCACGCGGTCTTTTGACATCCCGTGGAATCCAATCAGTAACAGCTCTAGTCCAACGGTCGTCGAATAATCACTAATGTAAAAATACAGTTATACAGCTAAGTCAAGCGACAAACCTGAAATGCAAAAAAAAAAAACCAACAAAAAAACCCAGTACTCTAAAAGAAAGCTGAAAGAAAAAGACCCCCAAAAAACAAATTAAACAGAAAATAAATGATAGATTTAAGCTGAGCAGTATCAATAATCACATTAAAAGTAAACACCTTAATTACTCTGAGTAAAGACAGATAAATTTAGTAAAAAATGAGTATAGAGCAGTGGCCAGGACCTGAGATAAATATCTCATAGTCTCTTAATATCTCTGAAAAGACAGGGGGTGGGCGGGTGGGCGGGTGGGGGTGGGGTGGGACTGGAGGCACAAAGCAGAAAATCTCTGAACAATCGTTGGATATGACTATGCTCTCATATCAACTATTTAAAAAATGAGCCTCACAAAGATTAAGTAACTTTTCCAAACAGAACAGCAGAGAACCATGCTCCTCTCCCTTCAACAACACTGAGCACCTGAGACACAGAGGGGCTGTGGGGTGCTCTAATGCACCTTCTGTAACCATCTGGGATAAAGTCCAATTTCAACAGCTGAGTGACCATGGGCCACACATCATCTTTTTTCTTTTATTTTCTTTTTTCTTTCTAGTTTTTTTTTTTTAAAGCTTTTGCTCCCTCCTTTGTAAAGAAGAAATAACAGGCATTTAGTACTTACTACCTGCTTGAATGCATTGCTTAAGCAGGTAATAAGTACTAAACACCTAATGTTGCAGTGACAACAAACTACACAAAGTCCGGTAGGTGGCATTTGTTAATTGGGAAGAGTCAATGGTTTTTAGTGTTTTTTAGGTCACAGGAGAAATATCAGTTTGTCGAAGTCCCAGACTAAACCAAAATAAAGAAAAGGAATAACATTTATTATCTACTGGTTTAGTGGTAGCATTGCAGAAATAAGCTATTTTTTACTTTATAACATTAATTATATTAAGTTTGTGTTTCTTCTTTCAGAATTTTAGAACTGCAATGAAACAGTCTCCTAAAAAAAAAAAAACCTTTCAACTTAACTGCGAGATGGAATAAGAATGTGAGTCTTATTTGTTTACCAGATGAATAGTTTTAAAGTCCTTACATTTTCATTTCATTTTGGACCTAGACAGAATCTGAATAAAATAGATAGCTTGAGTTATACTGATACTCTTACAATAGGAAAATCAAAAAAATAAATTTATTGAAGCATTATCATATACTTAAAATGTTACTATATAAATTTAAGAAATAAAAATGTAATTCTGGGAGTGGGTAGAAAGCTCTGTTTTAGAAGACTTTTTTTTCTTTGCAGTGCTAGGATGGAACCCTGGTCTCATGCACACAATGCCTGCAATTTGCTTCTGAGTGCAGGCCCAGAAATTAATTTTTTTTAAAAAAACATCTTTGGCCCAGAAATTTATTAAAAAACAAACAAACAAAAAAACCACAAAATAACAAAAATAAATTCCAGTTAATATGAACATTTAAATATATACTTTTCAAAAGAAAATCAATCAAGATAGATTAGATGCAACATGAACGTCGGCTGATGGGGAAGCCAATCTTTCAATATTACAGCATTACTTTTCCTTAGAAACAACTATAAGACAAAATTTCAAAGATATTTTATTCAAAATTCTCCATCTAAAGATATGTAACAGTGTTTACACATGCTTCAATAATTTATTTCACTGTACAACTTATATGCTATATAATACAATAAACTAGTCAAATAAAACTGTCAGCCCACACTATGATATAAAAACCACTGAGTAAGGAGTCCCAAAGATGGCATAAATATGGTTTCCTTCCAGAGCCTCAGTCATTTGATTCAGTGTGTCTAAGTCTAAAAGTTAAGATGTGTCACGGCTTTTTGGTGATTTAAAAGGCTATAGGGATTTGTGTTCGGTTTTGTTTCTGTTTTCGGGCCACACCAGTGCTGTTCATTCAGGGCTGTTCATTCCTCCTGGATCTGCACAAAGGGATCACTCCTACCTAGATGGCTCAGGGTACCATATGTGGTGCCAGGGATCGAGCCTGTGCAAGGCAAGCACTTTACCTGCTGTACTATGTCTTTAACCTTGGTTCAAGGAATTTTTTTTTTTTGCTTTTTGGGTCACACCTCAGGTTGCTCTTGGCTCTGCACTTAGGAATTACTCCTGGAGGTGCTCAGGGGACCAAATGGGATGCTGGGAATCAAACCTGGGTCAGCCGCGTTCAAGGCAAACGCCCTACCCACTGTGCTATTGCTCCAGCCACTCAAGGAATTTTTAAGAATAGACAGTTTCTAGCTAAATTTGGTGGGCAAGGGCTGAGGGGCTGTCCCTTTTATCCCTTTTATAAATGTCTTTTCCCTTTTGTGTTACTTTGACCGATATGAATTAAAAATAATTTTTATGCTGTGTGCATGACTATATTCACACATAGATTATGTCCTAGCACAGAATCATGTTCACCAGTCATTCCATAGCTAGAAAAATGGCTCAAACAAATTAAAGAAACAAAAGAAATAGAACTCTTGGTTTTGTAAAGGTAGCACCAAATAAAACTACATGTCTGTGAAGTTTCTCTGCTACTCCTTAAATGATGCAAAGAGCGATGGCAACAATGTGAACAGAATAAGAAAGTAAGATTTTTCCAGATTTTTCCAGATTTTTTTTCCATATATCCTAACTAACATAGTTAGTATCCTCTCTAAAAAATTTAGTAATCTCAGAGATACTTGTGATTGCCAACTCAAGGTAAGACCACAAAAAGAAAACAAGATGGAAATGATGAACTAGCAAAATCTGAACTTATTCCAAGTAACTATTTTCCAAAGGGGGGGAGGGGAGGCACAGGAGGCACACATTTCAATTTGGTTCAAAAATAATCTGATTTTAGAAATTGGCAACAACTACTAAAACATAAAATCCAATTTCCTCTATTTCTTTGATAGAGCACAATGAATTAACAATATGCCCATTGTGGTTCATCCTAACAGGGAATATACATATCACCTGACATTTCCAAAGACTGATACGATGGGTAAAGTATAAAGAAGAACCTAATCATTTTAATTAAGCATTCTTCACGAAAGACTTATTTCTGAAGCTAACCACTGAATTAACTTCCTTTCTTTTATGATGGGAACGGAAATTACTGCGATACTCTAATTTTCACTTGACTGTAAAAGCTTTAGAGTAATCCCATAAACCAAGGAACACCAAGAGACAGAAAGCCAGCCAGTATTATATAGTGAAAGCTAATGCAGATTTCACTTTGGTGTATGTAAACCATACGTTTCCAAAAAAAAAAAAAGTTACAGTAGTTATGGTCAGTTTATATTTGATTATTACACATTTAAAAGAGCACTACTATTTTTTTGTCATTGTAAACATAAGTATGTATCCCAAGAAAAACATATCAAAGAAAAGACGCACCCCTTGCAACGATGCATCTGATGCCATTTTACAGACTTCTTGTGACAACTGTAGTGTATCTAACTTTAACTGCCATTGCCGATTATGACTCCAGGGTCATGACCTCAGGGAATAGTTCCCATATATACCACTGAGCTACTTTAGCTGCAATCAGGACTGCAATAAAATACAGCAAAGTCACACCTTTAAAAAGTCATTAGAACATCTCGTTCTTGTACACTAGTATAGAAAGGTCTTCCAAAGATAAATGAGTGTAGTCCAGGCTTAATCTTCTCAGCTAGAGCCATTATTATGTTAAGATCGCCCTCTGCTGTTAAATCAAGGTCTATCTTCAGGTTCCTCAGAGATTTAAAGGGCTTTTTCCCCTTCTGCCTGTAATGAAAAAGAAAAAAAAATGTCCAAAGGGCACACAAGAATCAACCATGTACAAAGCTTTTCTATCCATTTAACAGTTTTACGTACGTATCATCTTCTATGTATTTTATTAGCGTCAAGGCTTTTCTGTGAAGGACAAGCAGAAATTGTGCTAGGAAAGTACTCCTGAGAGATAATCCAGGCTTCAGATGAAAAATCTGCAGGAAAATGAAATGTCTTAATAAGTAATCTTAATAAGTAATTCAATTTATGCATTATTGTGTGTGTGTGTGTGTGTGTGTGTGTGTGTGTGTGTGTGTTTGGGCCTCACCTGGTGGTGCTCTGAGGCTACTTCTGGCTCTAGTGCCCATATTAGGGCTTGAACCTGAACCTGAGCTTGCCTCATATAAAGCATGCACTCAGACCACGGAGCTATTGCACTGGTACCTTATAACACCTACCTATCACAGTAACAGAAGGAACACCCCAAAAGAGCAGTTCTCAGCATGTACACTGATGCTCCCTGTCAGAATACAGTGGAAGTACTGGGTCTGAAAGCAATGACAGTTCTATTTCGCCTTTAATAATGGACTCATACTTACATGCTGTCTCAGAATATACTGATATTTATTTTTGTCGCTAAGAGTCACAATGACGTTACTTCCAAGTGCTCTATGTTTTTCTGCCGACACTTTAATCTTAACATACTATCGATAAACCCAGAAGTTGAGCCTTGTGCAAATTATTTTGTGACATATTACTCTTCTGCTATGGGGGAAGAGGAGAGGGTACATACAATGTGGTAGAGGATTTTATTTCAACTTGAGAAGTGTGGAATTACATAACCATGAATTGGCCTTGAACTTTACAAGATGTCAGAGACCACACGGACTTGAATACAAAATTCATAGTCAACATAAGGATCTCATTTCAAATCTACATTTATGATGACGTTTCTTGGCATGATCCCCAGAATGATGTCATGACAAAGTTCTGCTATAATAAGAAATAAGTCCCATATAATTTTCTTCAGATGTTTAATGATGTAATTTTTTTCAAAGGAATGAGACAATAAAGAAACTACCATTTAAACAGAATGATACTAGATTTTAAAAACTTTGTTGGCTTCACTGAGATGAATTCACATCTTCCCATCCCAGAGCCACCCCTGATATGTAGGTCAATGCTAAGAATTAAAAAAAATAAAATTAAATTGTGAAATGCAGTGTGCTTAATCATTGAATCATAGGCCACTACCCATTTATAATTAAAAATAAAAATTAAGCACTTTAGAAGGACCAGAGGTACTACACTATGTCTACACTATTTCATGTGTGTGCATGCACATGCTTATATACGAGTAGAACATACTGGAAAAGAGAACACAAGATATGATTTGCTCTTATAATCTCAGGCTTAATATTTACCTGATCCAGGAAGGCTTTTACTAGAGTGTCTCTGTGTAAAACATCTTGAAATATATTCCTGTGCAAGAGAAGAAAATAGTGCAAATGTTGAAATGGCTACACAGCGCTACTTTCTACAACCAGCTCATATCAGTCATAAATCAAATACTTTAAAATGAGGTATCACATCTAAATGTTTTTGTAATGATCAGAAATATGCATTTAGAAATACATAATTTCACTTAAGGTTATATCTACATATTAATGGAGTTTGTCAGGGCACTATTTAATGGTTTTTATATAAGCTATCTTAAGAAGGTTATGTAGGTATCTATTAATCTATTGCTTAATGTTGAACACACTGAGTTTATAACTATAATCACCATCTCAAAAGAACCAAAACCAAAATAATGGGACTAGAGAGAGTACAGTGGGGAAGGTTCTTGCGTTGCATGTGGCTGACCTAGGTTCAATCCCCAGAATCTCATATGGTCCCTAGAACCCAGTAGAAGTGATTCCTGAGTAAAGACCCAGGGTTAAGCCCGGAGCACAGCCAAAACAAAATTCATCAATACACACCACTACATCACTACATCAAAAAAATTAAAAAAGGTCAATTAAAAAATTCATCTTTTAAATTGAAAAAGTTTAAGGATCTGGGGATATGGCTCAGTGGAGAGCAGTTTTCGTACATATCTTAGGTCTTGGGTTTGGTCCCCAGTACTTCGAGGGAGGGAAAAGACTTGAAAGTAACATTTAAAAGATTTATATAAAAGTCTAACTTATGCTAAAGTTATTTTATATAAACAAATTCTAATAAGCAGTTCAGGAAGAAAAAAAAAAGGATAAAGCTCAAAAACAATGGAGTGGAGGGGTTGAAGTGACAGTAAGCAAGTAGGGTGCTTGCCTTGCATGTGGCTGACCTGGGTTCAATTCCTCTGCACCAAATATGGTCCCTGGAGCCCTGTCTGGAGTGATCCTTGAGTACAGAGCCAGGAGTCAGCTTGGAGCACTGCCAGATGAGGCCCCCATATCAAAAAACCAAACCAAAAGACAAAAAAAAACCCCAAAAACCAACAATAAGAAGTCAAAAACATTGGAGTAGAATTAAGGACCCATTGGGAAGATAATCTGCATGTCTGGACCACTGGTCTGCATCAACAAGTCTATTATCTGGCAAGTGTTTGGTCACTTACTTTGCACCAAATACTGGGACCAGAGGCTTAATATGTATTATTACATTTAATCTAATTTATTTTAGGGAAATATGATTCTATTCAATTAAGAAAAACTGATAGAGGGCAGGAGTACAGTGGGTAAGGCACTTGGCTTTGCACGTGGCTGATCGGAGTTTGATCCCTGGAATGCCTGATGGTCCAAGGAATGCCAGGAGTGACTCTTGAATGCAGAGCCAGGAGTAACTCTTAAGCATCCCCAAAATTAAAATAAAAGAAAGAAAAAAGAAAAACTGAGGGAGGGCCCAGGGATGTGGCTCAGTGGGGACATGGCTCGCCTCAAGGTTGAGGGCCCGCCTATGCCACCATGTGTGATCCCTGGCATGAATCCTATGATCCCGGGCATGCTGTCATGCCTTGGACAGGACAGCAACAGCAAATGTGTAAACAAATGCTTGATTCATCAAATGTGTCTTTAAGCACTGTTCTCCTAGCAAGAAATACTTCTTTGCTTTTTTGTTTGTTTGTTTGTTTGTTTGGGCTTTTGGGTCACACCTGGCGATGCACAGAACGCGTTACTCCTGGCTCTGCACTCAGGAATTACTCCTGGTGGTGCTCAGGGAACCATGTGAGATGCTGGGGATCAAACCCAGGTCAGCCGCGTGCAAGGCAAACGCCCTACCTGCTGTATTATTGCTTCAGCCCACTTGTTTGCTTTTAAACCCATACTTGTTTTACTGGTAAAAGCTCAATTGTGCATGACTGCTTGACAACAATGTCCAAAGACAGGGCATGACATACAAATCAGGCGTGAAGCTTTCGTCGGTATAAATGATTGTATCCTGAGCCATGTCTTCTTCTGATGTGGCTCTCCAGAACGCTGTCAGCTCGGATCTCATGTATCTGCGCTGGTTGTAGATGTGCTCGTGACACGGCGGCATCTGCTTGACTGTGTTGACATCCACGTCGATGTGTGTGGTGGGATAGGGGGCATACATGACTTGCCGGAAGGGCAAGACGAAGCTTCCAGTTGAGTCCTGTTGTGATAAAAGGAAATACTACCTCCTCACACGCGGAAATGTACAAAGAATTATTTTTTCATTAGAAAAACAAAACTGGTTTTGATTTAGCAAATCAATCTCTAGAAATTTATCCTAGGAAATTAATCCTGGTAGTATGTAGCTTTAGCAACAGGACTATCCACTATAGGGCTGGTTTTGAGCGCAAACCATCTGAAAAGAAAACCTAAGCAAACAAAAAAGAGAATTAGGCTATGTTTTTGAGGAGAGGGCAAGAGATAGAAAAAAAAATACATACAGATTAAAAAAATGATCAGAAATATATATACCAAATATTACCAATGTTTATTCACTGAACTGTAAGATTTTCCTCTTGATTATTAATATGCTCTTTTTAAATCTTAATAGAAAATTTATGATAAGCAAAAACAAAAAACACCTTGTTTATAGACATAGTCAGTCAGGTAGCCAGTTGTTATGGAACAAGTACTTTTGTACATAAGGCATTATGCACTGTAGCACTGTACCCTCCTGTTGTTCATCAATTTGCTCAAGTGGGTCCAGTAATGTCTCCATTGTGAGACTTGTTGTTACTGTGTTTGCCATATCGAATACCCCACAGGGAGATTGCCAGGCTTTGCCTTGCAGGTGAGATACTCTCAGTAGCTTGCTGAGCCCTCCGAGAGGGGTGGAGGAATCGAACCTAGCTCGGCTGGGCTGATTGCATGCAAGGCAAATGCCCTACTGCTGTGCTATCGCTCCAGACAAGGCATTATGCCATGTACTATAAACAGAAAACAAAAGACTAATTTTAACTTTTTGCTTTTACAATGTGTTAATAATTTTTTAAAAAAAATTTTAATGAATCACCGTGAGGTACAGTTACAGACTTACAAGCTTTCGTGCTTACGTTTCAGTCATACAATGATCGAGTACCCATCCCTCCACCAGTGTCCATTCTCCACCACCAATGTTCCCATATCCCTCCCAAAACCCCCACCAAATCTTCCACCCCTTGCCTCTGTGGCAGGAACATTCCCCTTTACTCTCTCTCTCCTTTTGGGTGTTATGGTTTGCAATACAGGTAGTAAGTGGCTATCATGTTCAGTCTATAGTCTACTTTCAGCACTTATTTCCCATCCCGAGAGAGCCCTCCAAGCATCCTTTACTTGGTGGTCCCTTCTCTACCTCAGCTGCCTTTTCCCCCAGCATGTGAGGCCGGCTTCCAAGTCGTTATTAATAAACTTTATAAGTAAGCCTTTCCCCACATATAATAGCCTCTGTGAATAGATTTCCAGAAATCAAAATACTATGTTAAGTCTTTGAACTCTTAATATATGTCTTGATATATGTCTAAGTATTTTCTGGAAGGCTATACAATTTATACTTTTATGGGAAACTTCTAATATATTTTTTCCATTAAATTATAGTTTCAGAGTTTTCTCATTGCATCTGGCAGAGTTCCCTTTCAAGGATAAAAGTATATAATTAAAAGGAGTGATGTTGAGGAAATAAAAGCACTAAGTATTATGTCTTTGATAGGAAGAAGTTTTAATGTTCATATTTGCACAGTTCAAATCAGAAGTGAGTTTTTCTCTACCACCTTCTATACTGAAATATATTATTCTGAGCTCATAGAATACAGTTTTAAAACTGCAGAAGCGGAACATAATTTTGATTTGCCATTTCAAATATTTTTTCTTTCATTTTACCATGCTTGCATGCATTGTTAAGAGACTATTGACTTGGACAACCACATAGTGATTAGGCAAGCTACTTCTTTGACTATAATTGAAACACTAGTAGTAGATCCAATACAGTAACTGTCTTTTCCCTAATTCTTGAAAACTGATTTGCATGGATCTGTTTTGATTTTTTAAAAAGACTTAAAAGAAAATCGTGATTTTTCTTTTTTCCTAAAGTACTCGGTTGTATAAATTACTCAAATTCTGTATCTTTATTTTGGTTTCTTCTGGGATACTTAGGGCTCAGTGCTCAGGAGGCCCTTCAAGCAATGGAGAAATTGGCAGTGCCTGGAATTGGATCAGACCTCTAGCATGCAAGCACCTTAAGTTTCTGTTGTTGTTTTGCTTACATTTTTATATTATTTTTTAATATTAATATTTTAATTAATTTTAAAAAATTATTTATTTTGGTATTTGGGCCACACCCAGCAGTGCTCAGGGGTACTCCTAGCTCTGCACTCAGGCATCACTCCTAGCAGTGCTTGGTCATGTGACCATATGGAATGCTGAGGCTTGAACCTGGGTCGGCTGTGTATAAGGCAAACTCCTTGCCCTGCCTGCTGTACTGTCACCTGGTCTCTTGCATATGTTTTGAAAGCCAACAACTTTTACTTCCTCTCTCATTTCACTGAACAAAGACGGGAGCCAACCACCAAGGTTCTACAAGGATGGGCAGTTGTTGGCTTATTGCTCTAGTTACACTCAAACTCTGTGTCCCCAACTTCAGGCATGGTAGCTACTCTTGTTTGATGCCCCTTTGGAGGTTCAGCCCTGGGCACTCTTGGCATGGTCCGGAAGGCAGCAGGAGCAGCACCTAATTTTGGAAGAGGTGCATTTGCAGTCTTTACATTTGTAGGCCCCAGCACATATGCAGGCATCCCCAGTGTTACCGGAAAACTGGGGGTCCCTTAGGCAGTACAAATATGCGTATTTATGAATATACCACATATACGGGCTGGAGTGATAGCACAGTGGGTAGGGTGTTTGCCTTGCACATGGCTGACCCGGGTTTGATTCCTCTGTCCCTCTCAGAGAGCCTGGCAAGCTACCGAGAGTATCCCACCTGCATGGCAGAGCCTGGCAAGGTCCCCGTGGCGTATTCGATATGCCAAAAACAATAACAAGTCTCACAATGGAGACATTACTGGTGCCCACTCGAGCAAATCAATGAACAACGGGAGGACAGTGCTACAGTGCAGTGCTACCACATATATAAAACATAATAACATAAGAATTAAAATCCAGGGTGGAGCAATAGTACAGCGGGTAGGGCATTTGCCTGGCACACAGCCAACCCGGGTTTGATCCCCAGTATCCCATATGGTACCCCCAGCACTGTCAGAAGTGATTCCTGAGTGCAGAGCCAGGGGTAACCCTTGAGCATCGCTGGGTGTGATCCAAAAAAGCAAAAATAAATAAATAAATAAATAATCAGGAAAAAAAAATTAAAATCTGTTTGGTTAAAAAAAAAAAGTTTTATTTTAAAAGCATGTATTTAAGAAAAAGATCCTGTAGCTGATCCAGGTTTGATCCCCAGCATCCTATAAGTGCCTGAGCCTACCAGGACTGCTCCCCCAAATACGGAAAGAAATAAATTACAGAAAAAAAAAAAGATCCTGAGGCCAAACAGGCAGATACAAGAAACCAAAAAAAGCTATTCTGCACATTTCACTGAAACAAACTATATGGCATATAGTGTTTTGCTCAGGTACTTGAAAGGAAACTGGCCCTTAGATATAAAGATCAGATGTATTAAATAGTTTAAAATATATTTTAATTAAATATATTTTCATTAAAATCAAATATTCAAAATATATTTATAAAAGACTTCAAAATAACTTTTAAAACTGGTTTCATTTTTAATGAAGCGATAGCACAGCGGGTAGGGCATCTGCCTTGCATGCGGACAACACAGTCGACCGGAGTTTGATTCCTCCGCCCTTCTCGAAGAGTCTGGCAAGCTATGGAGAGTATCTCGCCTGCATGGCAAAGCCTGGCAAGCTACCTGGGACATATTCAATAATGCCAAACACAGAAACAAGTCTTACAATGTTACTGGGCCCGCTCGAGCAAACTGATGAACAACGGGAGGACAGTGACAGTGACAGCAAAAATATACCTTTAGTAGACCTTGTACAAAAAGTCCCGACTCATATTTAAATGATGATTCAGCTTCACATAATCTGGAACATTTTCTCTCTGTTGGAGTCAGAAAAAGGCATAGTGTTTTCACTATCTGTAAAAAGAGAAAATTTTAGTGTTAAAATATGAAGTTAAAGGTCATTGGTTTACTTATGAAAGAAATTTGAATAAAAACGTTAATCATGGAACTGGAGAGAGAGATTGTAGGAGGGGTAATAAAACTATTTACTGGCATGTTGCTGACTCAGGTTCTATCCTGGGTACCCCATATAGTAATCTGAATAATGCTAGGAGTGAGCCCTGAGCACAGAGCCAGGAGTAAGCCCTGAGCACTTTCAGGTATGGCCCCCCAAGCCCAAACAAAACAAAACCTTTAATTACTATTGTCTATAAAATATAACCCCCAAAACTGTATTCCTTAGTCAATTGGAATAGTCTTCGGGACAGACATTACTTAAAATAAGTATTCTGAGGTCAATATATTTCCTGGAGGCCAGTTAGTTTATTGTACATATCTTAAAGCCTGCAACTCTGAGTACATATTCTAACCTTCTTGGTGTGTGACACAGATTTTTTTCAAACTCATGGGGAACTTTTTGCTTCAGGATTTAAGAGTTTAAGGAAATAATGACTCAACATAATTATTCACTGCTATTTTCATTCAGCAAGTGCTTTTAAGTCAAGTATTTTTGAACAAGAGAAACAAATGCAGTCAGTATTGTTAGAATTTCACCTTTCATTCCATAGTAGTGGAGGTGAAATCCTATTGTAATAAATAGCATGGACTTCCCACATTCTTCAGCAGAATGAGAATTCCATCAAGGTTGATTTAAAATACATAAACCATTGGTTGGCATTTAGAAATTTCAACTCCTAACAAAATTTGCTCTGTAGTTCTATTAGGAAAAATAAAAGTCACGCAATATTAGAATTCACACACTATTTAGTCATTATGTTAAAATAGCTGGAGTGATAGCACAGTCGTAGGGCATTTGCCTTGCCCGTGACCGGCTGGCTGAGCCGGGTTCGATTCCTCCGCAGTTCTTCTGCCCCTCTCAGAGAGCCTGGCAAGTTACCAAGAGTATCTCGCCCACATGGCAAAGCCTGGCAACCTACCCATATTCGATATGCCAAACACAGTAACAACGAGTCTCACAATGGAGATGTTACTGGGCACGCTCGAGCAAATTGATAAACAACGGAAGAACAGTGCTGCAGTTAAAATAGTGGTTTTCATTCTAGAGGGGTATCCGCTATAGTTAAAATAGCGGTTTTCATTCTAGAGGGGTATCCGCTATAGTTAAAATAGCGGCTTTCATTCTAGAGGGGTATCCACTTTTTCTTGAAGTTAAATATAAAAGGGAAGGTGATGAAGATGTGGGATAAAAAAAAAGAAAAATATGTTTAGAAAACAGAATTCCAATCATGGAGCCTTTCCACCTCCAAAAGTAACTGAGAATTCACTTCTGCTACCTTAAGACCTCAGAAATATTCATAGATAAGTCACCTTCCTGGGGTTAACAGAAAGAATATCACTAAAAGCAATATCCTAAGAGAGGTACACAAATATCTTATAAATGGCTGCATGATAAATGCAATCTTGGCAACTTAAGGCTTCTGTACATATAAAGGCATTTCATTACAGGAAACAATGATATTATCAGTATATAGGTAAACTAATCACTCATAAAATAATTCTTGCACAAAACTTTAAAAAAGAATAGACCTACTTGAGGTTTTTTTTTTTTTCTTTTTCCTTTTGGGGCTATGCGTATAGCAGTGCTCGGGGCTTACTCCTGGCTCTGTATTCAGGGATCACTCCTCAGTGTGCTCAGGGGACCATATGCAGTTCTAGGAATTGAAATAGGGTTGGTAGCCTGTAAGGGAAGTGCTCAAACCCTATACTATCTCTGGCCCCAGAAAATAAATCGGTTTACTGAAATTGGCCGATCCATGCACTTATCTCTAATTAAAGTTTACTGAAAAAAGTAAACAAAATTCCTAAGTTTACTGACTGTCTGGAAACATTAAAAGTATTTTGATTTTTTTTGGGGGGGAAGAGGTGGAATTGTTGTAGAGGTGACTCCTGGTGGTTTTCTGGACATTGAACTCAGAGCTTGTACTATATCACCTGAATCTCAGCTATGACCGCTCCTCCCCATTAATTCTTGTTCATTCATGTAACGCTGACATAAATGGTCACAAGCATTATTGAATAAAGGGTAACCTCTATTGATCATTTAATAACAAGAGGTTCTTGAAATGGATAGATAAGAGAAAACCAGGTCATGAAATAAATTTGAATGGTTAGATAAAATTCATTTGGAATTAGTACACAGTTCTTTGATTTATTAAGTAGACTTATAAAAAATAAGTCTGTAACAAAAATCTATTTTCAGAAAGCATTAATTTGATCATTTCATCCAGATTAAAATAAAATTATGAGCTAGAAGAAAATCAGAACTAGAAGATAAGTATGCTTTTAAATATGATTTTAACATACTCTAATACAACTTATAATGAATTTTGAAATAAGTTTTTATATTTCAATCCATGCACTATGTATAATTAGATAATTTGTTATATTTGTAATACCTATATATGTATTATGGATAATACAAATTATAATATATAATAAGTAGTAGTCCCCTTTGTATTTTTATTTTTGTTTTATTTTTCTTTTTGTTTTGGGGCCACACCTGACTCCTCAGGTTTTACTCCTGGCTTTGCACTCAGGGATCATTCTTGGTGGTTCTTAGGGGACTATGTGGGTCCCAGGTCAGAGGTATGCAAGACAAGTGCCCTACCCATTGGACTATCTTTCCAGTCCCAACAGCCCCCTCTGATCTTAGTGGGATACATTCCAAGACCCCCAGGGATATCTGAAATGTGGATAGTACTGAACCATATATATTCACATTCAATTTTTTTCTATAAGTATGTCCTCCCATTGTTCATCGATTTGCTCGAGCGGGCACCAGTAACATCTCACAACAAATAGTGAGACTTGTTGTTACTGTTTTTGGCATATCAAATACGTCACGGGGAGCTTGCCAGGCTTTGCGGTGCACTCAATATACTCTCAGTAGCTTGCTGGGCTCTCCAAGAGGGGTGGAGGAATCAAACCTGGGTCGCCCGTGTGCAAGGCAAATGTGTACCCGCTGTGTACCAATGATAAATTAGGGACAATTAGAGATCAACAGCACAACGTAGAACAACACAACGCTGAATAATATACTATAAAATACTATAATATACTATCAAAGTTATATGAATATGGTCTCATTCTCTCACTCAAAATATCTTGTTGCAACTAAGATTTTCAGACCAAGGTTCAGTACAGGTAACCATGAAACCAGACTGCAGATGAGTCTCAAAGAAAAAAAAAGGATAATGGTTGTCAAAAAAAATTCTTCTTATTTAATACATAAAGATTATATGTACTTGATCTTTTTTACTTGTTTCTGGCACAGAGTTCCTAAAACTTCTAGAATCCTGAAGAACGAAAGTGACCTTCATCATGTTAATAAGGTAACTTCTGGACCCCATCTGAGAATGGGGGTTGGTTGTAAGAATAGTGAACCATGTAATTAGAGGGTAGGACCTTTCGTTCCCATCCTCCCACTCTATGCTTCACTGGGGAGAAAAGAAAAGCTGGAGGTTTAACTGAATAGCAATGATCAATAACTGAATCATCATCTATATAAAAAAGTTCCCATGAAAACCAAAAACACATGGTTCAGAGAGCTTTTAGGGTAAAGATATGGAGATACAGGGAGAATCTGGAGACAGCAAGGACGCTGTAACTCCTTTCCCCATATTTTGCTCTACACATCCCTTCATCTTTTCCTAAGTGCTAATTTTATTCCTACTAAGCCATCAATCTAGTAAATAAATTGTTTCCTAACTTCTGTGGGTTGCCCCAGCAAATTAACACCTAGGAGGGGATTATGGAAACTGTTAGCAAAGGAGAGGAATGTGAAAGTGGTTGTGGTTGGTGGGGTGAAGTATCACAGCTCTTAGATCTGACACCCTCATGAGAGATTTGCAAATCAAATTTGCACTGACAGGCAGAATACCCTGTAGCTGTCCACGGTATTGGTGGTGGTATGGGGTCTTATGTCTCAAACTCACACTGGATTTGGGCTAGAGAGGGTGCACAAGAGGTAACACACCTGCCTTGCATGCAGGATCTTTGAAATGATATATGAGCCCCTCGCCCCAAGGAACACAAGAGGTCACTACTCAGCAGAGAGCTGGGAATTCCCCCCTGGGCACACTGGGTATAGTCCAAAAAAGGGGGGGGGGGTGGATAAGGAGGTATTCAAAAATTTCTTCTTACTCTTTCATGAATTATCAAAATGGAACTGACAAAAACCTTCAATTTAGTTCAAACTAATTAATTAGTGTCATAGTAACTTTGGTCAGATTATACTTATATTGCATCTTTATTCTGTTAGATGATCTGGATTGTAACATAATCTTTAAATTATAATTTGTGATAATCATATTATGCTAACAGAATTAAAAAGTTTAATTATTTTTTAATTATAAGGCAAATTACCTTATTTACTTTCTCTGCGCTGCTACCCACAACGACAGAACAGCCACAGGTTTGCAAGTGTGAGCTAATGGCACTATAAAATGAAGAAAAAAAGATGGAAAGTATTAGCTGTATAATTCCCCAAACCAAAAGAATAAATGAAGCCAAACAAACCCAAGTAATTTAGAAACTTAGAATAGCTTTCCATGATAAACACCAATGCTGTAAGTATAATGCTAGCTCTTATTTCTATAAAGTTTTATATTTTCCAGATGCCTTCTTTAGAGATTCTCTTATTTGAGTCTTACCATCTAGTATTCAAATATCACCCTTTTATAGTGCCAGAACTGGGGTGCAGAGAGATTAAACTATTAAACAAGTCAAATGGCATTAAAAATAAGGTATGAATGATTAGTAGGGAGTAGAATCAAGGCTAATTCTACATACTATTCAAACAATGTAAACTCCCTAATTAAACACATTTTTTTAAAAATTGAATCACTGTGAGATAAAGTTACAAAGCTATCAAGTTTGAGTTTCAGTCATACGATGATCAACCAATCCCTCCACCAGTGCACATCTTCCACCACCAGTGTCCTCCGTATCCATCCCTTATCCCACCCCTTCCCCTAACTCTATTGCAGATAATTTCCCCCATACTCTCTCTCAACTTCAGGGCATTAGGGTTTGCAATACAGATACTAAGAGGCTATCACATTTGATCCTTTATCTACTTTTAGCACACATCTCCCATCTCGAACTATAAAACCCAGCTCCCGGAAGTGCGCGGCCGCAAATCTTATTATCTCACTCTTACTTTGGACAAACTGGCAGGGTACCAAATGTAACCTGCCCACACGGCAGAGTCTGGCAAACTCCCCGTGGCGTGCCCAATATGCCATATACCAGTAACAATGATGGGTCTCATTCTAACCCTGAAAGAGCCTTGAATATGGTACTTTTTAAAAACATTCTCAGGGCTAGGATGAAGGAGATGTTACTGGGGCCTGCTCGAGGCAATCAACGAACAACAGGATGGTCGTGATCATGATCGTAGATGTACCAAAGTTTCTTTAACCAGTCTCAGACTCTTAGGTTGTTTCCAGATTCTGGCTATTGTGAACAGTTCTGCAATGAACATAGAGGTGCAGATGTCATTTCTACTGTGCTTTTTTGTACCCTCAGGATATATTCCCAGAAGGTAAAACACACTCCTGCCTCTAAGATTCTGTCCTGAACCTAGAGGAAAAGACTTCAGGGATAGAAGATAGTACAATAGTTAGGGACAGACTCAATTCTTGGCAACACATGGCCAGGCACAGCCCTGGAAGTCACTGAGCTATGGGGTGTATTGCTATGGGGTGTACAGCACTGCTATGTGGTGTACCAGGTGTTACTAGCACCATAGGGCCTGAGCAACATTATATCCTCAGTCCCTTGCATTAAATCACTGGCGCAAGTGGCTTAGACTCACCTGTGGGCTTCCCTCTCTCCCTGTCCTACACTTCCTGAGCACTTTCTCCATGCCTAATTAAAAAGAACTTTTTTAAAGGAAAAGCTTGCAAAATATTTACATGAAAGAACTATTATCCTCCACTCATTAAAAAAATAAATAAATAAAACCTGATGCTACTCTGCAAATGTAAAGAAACAATCAAGAAGCAAATGAGGCTATAGCTGTCAAGAGGGCTGTTGCTTACTATCTGGGACTAACACAGGCATCTGAAAAATACTAACTACCATTTTATCACTTTTCTGAGAAGAAATATAAGTAGAAATTATTAGTAATTAGCTATGTGCTTTTACATGCCAGATTCTGTTATAAAGGGGTTTACTTTGGAGATAGAGAGACAGTACAATGGGCAGGTCACTTGCCTTGTACAAGGCCAACCCACCGTTCAACACCCCTGCATCCCTGCATCCCATATGGTCCCCTGAGCACTATGAAAAGTGATTCCTGAATGCAGACCCAGGAGTAACACATGAACATCTCTGGGTATGTCCCTAAAACAAACAAACAAAAAAAGAAAAACAACAACAACAAGAAAAAGAAGTGTTTACTCTAATTTACCTCACTGAATGAGTGTAACACTTTTACGAAATGGGCACTATCATTAGACCCATTTTACAAATAATAAGGGATGGAAGTTCAGAGATCAGGTAGCTTACCAGGGTTATACCAAGTATGATTTTAAAATCCACACTCTTTTAAATATTAAGATCTGTACTAGAAGGAAAAGTACAAATATGAATAATTTTCTTTTCAGCCTAAATAATATAAAGTGAGTACTCTGAAAGAATTCTTGCAGTTTCAGCTATAACGAGAAGTGAAACAAGAAACTAGAACCAAAAAAGGGACCGAAGTTTCTTGCCTAAGCAATATAAAAACTCAGCATATCTAAATATTCACAGTTACATCAGGATAATATATATATCTCAGAAATGTAATACAAAGTTAAGCAAAAGTCCAATGACAAAATGTTGTCGCTGGAATCATCTGGGTTGGTATTCTGCTGTTTTCTTCTTCCAAATCTGATCATCAGTGAGCATAGAATCATATCAGCTTTATGTCACTTTAAAGAAAAGAAACATAGTTCTTACTTGAGAAGAAAACCTTCATGACAGCTGTCACCAATATCATCATCATTGAGGACTGTATCAGCTATCTGAAATGCACCAAAAGAAAAAAGAGAAAATAAAAAAAATCAAGGTTTTTAATAAACAAGTTTTGTAAAGTTGAGGTTCAATATACATTGCCCTCATTTCTAAGCATCAACAATGCCCATAAAACAAGGTCTGTGTACTCTCATGTAATATGTACTAAACATGCAACAAATATGTAATAAAATATAATACATTTTTGAACACAGGAGAAGGAGGTCAGTCAGGTTAAACAACAATTTTTACAAGAACAATTTCATTTCCTTTTCAAACTTGCCAGAGGCAAGAGAAATTTTTTTTTTCCAGTATTAAGTTACAGTGACTTACAAAGTTCATAACAGAGTTTCAGGAATAAGAGACAAATCTTTAATGACAGAGTTAGAAAGCAATAAATACAGTTTCCTAAATATACACAGAATTCAATTCAAAATATCCTCAGCAATTAAGGAATATTAGTGAATAGAAGTGTACTTTCAGTAAGAGTCAACGATTTGTACACTGTCTTGTTATAAAAAATAAAGCATTAAGTACTGCTTGCTTTTTTAAATCTTTAATTTTTCCCACTTTTATAGAAATGATAAACAAAATTATAACTATCATGAATAAAAAAAGACTTTCTTTGGTCATAGAATTCCAAATTTTTAGTATGTTCATTAGAGAGTGTCTAATAATTTATACAAGTAGTACTTGTAACAAAAGACATAACACTAATATGAGGTTCTAAGGTCTAAGGTCTAAGGCCCTCCCGTTGATCGTCGATTTGCTCGAGCGGGCCCAGTAACGTCTCCATTGGAGACTTTGTTGTTACTGTGTCTGACATATCGAATACTCTCGGTAGCTTGCCGGGCTCTCCGAGAGGGGCGGAGGAATCGAACTCGGGTCGGCCATGTTGGCTGCGTGTAAGGCGAACACCCTACCCGCTATTATTTAAAAAATATATAACAGTAGCATAAATCAAGGGAATTGATATAGAGTACCATTTCTCCAAGTCAATAATATAAGAACTTACATCTATTTCTTCAGGAACACTATGTGATTTCATAGATGAAAGCAATTCCATTACAGGAATTACTTCTCCAGTAAGCATTGGAATAATACTCTGACCCTGGGAAAAAATTTGCAAAATGAGGTGAAGAAAACTATGTAATAATATGTAACAAGCCACTCAATAAAGAATTAAAAACTGAAAACAAAGAATAACAATTACTGAAAACAATACTTGACAATTTGTTCAAACGCAGCCCTGAGTTTATGACTAAACATTTCTGGAGAATTTATGAGTCATTTAAAGCTTATTTTCATTCATCTATGAGTGATTTTCTTAGAATCAAACCATTAATACATCTTTTACTATTATTAACAATAATTAAATCACTATGCCAAATTTAGAAGGGCCCAGCTTATTTTTTAAGCTGAAATATAAAAACCTGTTAATTGAGTCTCTCCCCTGATAAACTGATTGTTGTGGCCACAGGAGGACCACAAGTCTACTGGGTAGCCCAAGAACTGCTAAAAGTCTGTGCCAGTTTTGAATAATCAACTTTATCTTCTAGCTTCTTTGGAGAAAGAATAAAATCCTTCGAATTATTATTTTTTTGAAGTAAAACATTGTATTTTCAGGTTTTGAAGGGAAGAAGGAAGAAAAAGTGGGAGAGAGTAGAGAGTAACGTGCTCAAAGAGAGAACAGGGCTTGCTTCCCCAAGGGTGGAGAGAGAACCTACACACATCCAGCATTATACATGAAAGCATGAAAGTACACATCTCAAGAAAGGAGATGTAGGCAACACATGTGCTCAGGTACCACATGTGCTTGGCCACTTGGGCATAAGCCACACATGGGGCTCTGGCAGCATATGCACCAATCCTTCAAATTATTCTGAAAAAAAAAAAAGGAAAGAAAAGAAACAAAAGCCCAAACTCCTGTTAATTAAACAACATTGATGCATCTTACATTTTAAAATGAGATTAGGAGCAGAAGGGATGTAGTTTAATGGGTGGAATGCATGCAGGAGACCTGGGTTTGATTCCTGGCACTGCATGGTCCCCCAAGTGCCACCAGGGGCAATCTCTTCAGAGCTGAGTTGGGAGTAATACGTGAGCACTGCCAGGTTTGGCCCCGAAACAGACAAACAAAAAATAAGCTAAGCTCAGCACAAAACGACTTTGAAACAATCAAGGGTAAAATTTGAATCAATATTCAACCTCCACATTCATAATAAGGTATAATCAATGTAATCCTAATCTAAATCACATACATTTTTATCACAGATAAGCTTATTTTATTGTTCTTTCAATCAAATGCTAAATTGATTACATCTCAAAAATCTAACTTTGAAATTATTACTTTTGAAGTTAAAAAGCCAATCTAGGGCTTGGAGAGATAGCATAGCAGGTAGGACGTTTGCCTTGCACATGGCCTACCCAGGTTCGATCCCCAGGATCCCATATGTCCCCTGAGCACCGCCAGGAGTAATTCCTTAGTGCATGAGCCAGCAGTAACAACACCTGAGCATTGCCGAGTGTGACCCAAAAAGCAAAGCAAAAAAAAAAAAAAAAATCTAGAACACAAAACTGTAGAGTGCCTCAAATACAGACAATTCCTCATTTATTCACTATAGTCACGCCCAAGGAGTTTTGCCATTTTGTATTATGTAAACTTTGGAGTTGTAGATGAATTTGTCATGTCTATAAAATTTCAGCTAAACATGTTTTTTCATGTGCATCTTCAATTTAGAAACTATTATTCCTAGAATATTTTTTTTGAGGGAACTAATCCAGTTTTATAGAACGGTTTATAATGTGAATTACTTAGAGTATTCAAATTTGATGCTGTTTCAAGAAATTTTATCCTAAGCCCTTGTGTGGCACAGAAAATTTTGTTTTAAAACCATATCCTAAAATAACTACAATGTAATCTCTCAATGTCTTTACTTCTTAGTTATTTATCTTAAAATATTTATTTATTCATTTTTGAATTAATTAATTTATTTATATTTAAAGAAACTAGTGGTGGTGGGGGTGGGGGTGTTGAGGGGCACACCTGGTGGTGTTTAGGGCTTATTCCTGGCTTGGTGCTCAGGGCTCACTCCTAGTTAGGCTCAGAGAACCATAAAGAGTTCTGGGGATCGAATGTGGGTCAGTCACATGCAAGGCAAATACCCTACCACTGTATTCTCTCTTTGGATGGGTAAGATGAGGAATACCTCTGACAAACTGTAATATCAAAACAAATAGATTTATTTAAAGCATAAAATGAAAACTGCGTAAGTTTTAAAGACACAAAATGAGACGTCAAAGAAAAAAATATATTTTTATAGCTATATCTTCTCTCCTAGATGCCTTCCGGATACCAATTTCTCCTGTTAGTTCCGGGTAGATGTTTAAGAAGCAATGCCTTAAAGAACATCTCATATTCAGTCTTTAATTTTTATCATAAACAAGTCACTCAAATTTTATTCTGTGCAAGTGGGGAAAAAAAGGTAGCAAAATAGTTATTTGTAGAGGCAATAACTCTTATCTTTTAACTTTTCAGGACTAAGAGAGGAACATTTTCATGCACTTTAGTCCTTATATCTCCACAAAGGTACTGTTCATTTCCAGGCTCATTCTGTCAAACTATTTTGTCTTTAAGGCCTTGAAAATGTTACATTCTCTCTTATACATACATATCCCTTTAGTTTAGTATGTAATAGTATGTGATATGCATCTTACCTGATCCTCCATTCTCTCTGTGCCTTCTAAAATTATCTTCTGGACATTCTCTTGCCTTTCCTAAGAGAAAATTCATTAAACTTAGGGAAAAATAAGACCCCCTATTATTTATTTATATTTTCACAACATGGTTAAATGGTAGGCATGTTCGGTTTAGTTTAGTCTAATTTGTGATGCTTTTCATGAAAAAAATTTTCTACTTTAGGAAAAAAAATAAAGATATGGCAGGAAACCCAACAAATCCATGCTCTCGGAAATAATGGTCACTGTCACTGTCCTCCCGCTGTCCACTGATTTGCTCGAGCTGGCCCAGTAACGTCTCCATTGTAAGACTTCTTGTTACTGTGTTTGGCATATTGAATACATCACGGGTAGCTTGCCAGGCTTTGCCATGAGGGCAAGATACTCTTGGTAGCTTGCCAGCCTTTCCGAGAGGGGTGGGGGAATCGAACCCAGTTCAGCTGGGTTGGCTGCAAGGCAAATGTCCTACCCGCTGGACTATCGTTCCAGCCCCACAGAAATAAATCCAAATAAAATAAAATTTTTTATTTTCTGCAGTTAAAAAATATAGTTTAGTCCAAAACAGTCATTAGAACACATATGATTTCACAAAGGAAATGAATATTGTACTTTTCAAATTAAATAAGGCCAAGTTGACTCTGGGGAATATAGAACTTCCTGATTTTAAATGATTTTCATAGACATGAGAGGAGGTACACCTGCAAACACAGAGAAAAAACTTTTTTCTTCTTTTTTAAATTTTTTTGGGTACACTCGGCTGTGTTCAGGGCTTGCTTACTCTGTGCTTAGTGATCACCCCTGGCAGGCTATGGGGAGCTTTTGGGGTTCCAGGGACCAGGATGGTCACATGCAAGGCAATACCCCTACCCATTGTATTATCTCTCCAGCCTGAGAAAAATACTCCTGGTCCAGGGATGTGGTTCAGTGGTAAAGTGTCTGCCTTGCATGACGGAAACCACAAATTTGACTCCTGACTCCACCCCATGTCACTGAACTTGATCACCAATCACTGGCATCACTGATGCTGGTACCTTAACAAGTCTCACCTTCAGTGTAGCACCACTAAGTATGTGTGAGCACCCCAGCTAAGGTGTACAATCTATATTCACTGGAAGAATAATAATGGGACGGAAAAGCAGAATGCTCTTTTATCAAGATGCTCTTTTCCCTCTTCATATGGTAAAAGTCTTACAAAATTAATAATCCTTCAATTTCCAGGTTAGTTTTGAATGACTGAGTGGAATTATATTTGTTCTTCAGATATGCCAAAACTATTTAAAACTAGAAATGCCACAATACAGTGAACTATTGGACTCAGGGTTACCAATAATTCCCTCCAGCTCAATTAGCAAAATTAAAAGGAAGCATTCAGCCTCCTTCTTCTCTTTCCCCACAAATCTGGAAATCCGACTAGGAAGTTAAAGGTGCCAAAGGCCACATGAGAGCAATTATTCATGAGATCATTGTTTTGAATTATTTTAATTAATAGTTAAAAGCAGGGTTATGGAAAATTAAAAAAATTTAAAAAACCCCAAAATAAGAAAGTTGAGTCATCAGGTTTCCACGGCAAATCCAGACTCTAAAATTTAATATGGTTCCCATTTCTTTAAACTTTACCTTTTCTTTTGTAATGTGGAATTTGTACATTCCATGGTTATGAAAATACTAACATAAGACTAGATCAATCAAGTCATTTAACAGGATCGACAATATAACAATTACCTAGTAGCTAATAGGTTGAAAAATAACTAGTGCTAATTTAAAATGTATGTAATTTCTGAACATTAGATTGCTGTATTAGTTAAACTTTAATGGCAAAGTTAACATGAGGGAAAAGCTCAAAAGTCACTCACCTTATGCATCCATATCCTTCCTTTCCGGATAATATGTGTTAACCTGTCAACACATACTCTGTGAAGCGGGAGATAGAAGCTAAGTTCCGTCTGTGGAAGTATAATTGACAGTCCATACGTACTCCTATCCCCATTCCAGTTGCCATCAAAGATTAATGAAACAATAATTACTCCTTTTTCAGACAAGACAAAAAATTTTACATCGATAGCCCCACTCTCTGCATTTCGGAGGATTTCTCCATTGAGAGTGTGATTGGCCAGAAACGTTATTTCTCCATCACTGAGAAGTACCTGTTCAGTCTTTGGAGCCCAAATGTGCCTGACCCTAGGACCAAGAATATTATCCCAGTAAGCAAAGGTGGCTGCTAATAAAGGAGATTCACCACTTAAAGCAATCTCTGTCTTGGCAACGGCCGGCGATGGTGGGGGACAGAGAGTCGACATCACTGCAGCACAACTGTCACATTATCAGAATGCTTCGTGCGTATCTAAAATGACATAGAAAAATCAATGGTCATTTTCAGCATTTTAAAAAGTAACGGGCAAAAGTTCTGATGTGGGGTCAGAGAGAAAAGCACAGGGACTAGATCCCTGGCACCATACGGCACCCCTGGAGCACAGCTGGGGTTAGCCCAGGAGGCCCTTGAGCGCTGCCAGAGTGGTCTGGGTGCAGGGCCCAAGCAGCACTGCATTCTGACAGCCTTAACCATAGCTACTGGATGTACGAAATCATCCAACTTGGTTGGCATAGTGTCACTGGAGTGGTCCCTGGACCCTTCATTTGAAATGGGTTGGGGTCAGAGAAGGGGATTCAAAAGATGGCAAAGAAAAAATACAACGGCTTTGAGTCGCAACAAATAATGAACAAACAGTTCACTAATTTTTAGGTTTCTGAGTAGTATCTGAAAGTGCTCAGAGGAACATCTGATGCATGTAAAGCAAGCACTTTCCCTACTTTACTTATCATCTTTCTGGCCCCATTACTCCTCAGGGACTCTAAATATTAGGTACATAGACCAACACGAGTGTTTTCAATGACAGTAAAATAAGCAAAAATAAATACATTTAATATGTTGCTCAAGAAAGTAGTAGAGAGTTTTTTCTCTGAAGATTTATATTAATAGCTAAAATAAAAAAAGGTTCAGTTATTTAGAACATGCCAAGTATAAAATAACAGGATGGACCCTGATCAAGCCTATTAATTTACTAAGAAAACAGAGAAGGCAACTACAAGGTCACAGGACCGTGTCAGAATAGGTCTTTTAATATACTCAAATACACCACTCTGAAAGTGTACGTTATATGTAATATTAGTGTAAAAGAAATCATTCCTAATGTAAAAATTGAGCATTAAATTGAAAGACTATATGTGGAAAAAAATGACAATTTTTTGTTTTTGATTTTGGGCCATACTCGACAATACTCATCAGTCTATGCTCAGGAATAATTCCTGGTAGTGCTCAGGGGACTATATGTGATGCCTGGAGTTAACCCTGGTATAAGATGCATGTGAGGCAAATGCCCTACCCACTGTATGATGACTCTAGCCCCAAGACAATTTAAACAGGTTTAAAATTATAGGATCAATTCTCCTAATGGCAAAAGATAGCAATTAGTGAATAAACTACAATATTCCTATCTCTGCTTGTATGATTACTTTGGGAAAAAAATTTGCTCTGTAACTAAACTTATGCCAAAGTAAATCCTTCCATTAAAATAAGAAATGTTAGCTACATCTTGTCAAGAGAATTCAGAGACAGATCATAAGCAGCAACTTCTATTTTTAGAGTATTATATGAATACTTGTATCAGAGATGTCAAGTACAGGGATACAGAGTTTGGCAAAAACAATTACAGCAAGTACACACAAAAAATATTTAGCAGAGGTTTTTGCGAGTGTTTTTTGGACAGGATTGGGGGGTGGGATGGATGGGAGTGCCTCCCAAATAGTGCTCAGGAGGTCCTGTGCTCTGTCTATGATTCTCAATTCTCTGCCTGGTGGTTTGGCTCAAAGGACCATGGCTGGGATTCTACTGGAGACCCTGAGGTACCAGAGATACCTGGGCCACCCCTGCAGCTCTGGGGAACCTCTAGAGACGTACCTAGTAACATTTGGGGGACCATGTGGTACTGGAATCAAATGTGATCAGGAGCAAGGTAGGCAAGTGTCCTAACACTGTACCATACCCGAGGCCTGGAGAACAATGTGGGGTGTTGGTGATGGATCCCCGTAGGCAAGTGTCCTAACACTGTACCATACCCCTGAGGCCTGGAGAACAATGTGGGGTGTTGGTGATGGATCCCCGGGGTCAGCTTGCAAGGCAAGTGTCCTACCTGCTAGACTCTCTGACTCAACACAGAGGTCTTGAGTATGTAATTTTTATTTCAGAAATTCATTCTTATTTATTTTAAATAAGATATTCATATTTGCTTTTTAAGATGTTACATCAATTTACTGGTCTTAGGAGACTACACTGATCACAGCCATGTAGCTTGTTTTAAAATAGCCACGCTTTGGATACAACTTCAATAGTCAGTTTACAAAGATAGAATAAAGGCATGTAATTGGAATTGAAACTGTAATGAAGCTACTGACATCATAAATAAGAGCAAACTGCAGACCAAGGAGATGCAGTAAGAAAAAACATAGTCATAAAAATATATTGCAGAATATTTTCCTTTGTTCTTTCCTTTTGGATAAGAGTAAAATAATCATAGAAGTAAAATTGTAATTTAAACATTTATTTCATCATTACATTGCATTTCCTAAAACCAAATTCCATCCTAGAGCAAAATCTGATTGGATTAAGGAAAACTTTTACCTGACTATGAAAAACTATTACAGACCATTAATTACATTGAATCTCACTGGTAGTACCATTAGAAAGAAAATAAAAGACAGAGTTAATGCAACGTAAAGAAGTAACTTGGAAAATGAATGTCGCACACACGAGAAAGAGAGAAAGAGAGAGAGAGAGAGAGAGAGAGAGAGAGAGAGAGAGAGAGAAATAGATTTAGAAGAGCTGTTTTAGGATTTTACTGCCAAGTCATTATCTTTGGTGAGAAAAATCCATACACAAGAAGTGTAGCTGAAAAGAAATCACTTTAAAATCGATATTCTTTCTTTTTTATCTGTATATCTTATTTACATGTAGTGCTGGCTACTGCAGTGGATTATTATTAACATTAGCCATAAGAGTTCTGAAGGAAGATAGGACACAAACTGGGTAACAACGCAAAGGGATGGAGAGACAGTAGAATGGGTAAGGTGCTTGCCTTGCATGTACTCTATCCAGGGTCAATCCTCACCACCCTATATGTGTTCCCCAGTATGCACTAACAGGAGTGATCCCTGAGCACAGAGCCAGGAGTAAGCCCTGAGCACCACCAAGTATGGTCCTAAAACCAAAACAAAAGAAACCCCAAATTGGGTAACACATTTTTCCATTCCTATAAACAAAGAACAAGTTTCGCAAGAATAAAATTTCAGGAAATAATCCAATGCTTTATCCAATAATCCAAATATAAATTATCATCTCTTAAAAATTATCAAGTGGTAGGGTAGGTTTGAAGCCTCGCTATTTCTCATATCTTTGCTAAAAATTACCAATGCTTTCCTGGTGTTTAGAAAAGCAGTTGATGCAACTGCTGTTGTAAATCAGTATTCTACCTTCACAAGTCACCCATATTTTCTAATCATGCTTCCTCTTTGGGTCCTAGACCAGCCCTCCTTCCAAAACAGAAGCTTTCTAAAACTTTCTAAAACTCCCTAAACTTTCTACACTGTCACCTGGCAAGACTCAGAGATGAAGTTTATGTTTGCTATCAGGTTATGTCTTAGAGACCCAAATCTTCACAGAGACTGGCAGGCTTTAAAAGACTCATTAATTAACATGGATTCCAACAGCAGGAGTAAAAGCAGGGTCTTCATTAAAAAAAAAAAAATCTGGACAGGTATAGAAACAGTCTTTTTTATGGAAAAGAAGAAAATATTTTAGTCTCTACAGAACTGTAGTGGTTTGGTGCATAATCTGCATCGTGCTCTGTAATTTCTCTTGTTTAGCTTGTTTACAGAGTACAGCTATTATGAGTTGCTTTTTTCTTTCTTTTTCTAAAAATAGATGCAGGGTTTTCCTAGAGAAGCTGAGTTTGGCCCGGCTGCTGGTAAGAGTGTCACTGTCACAGTAAGGCCATCACACTTCAAGTTTTCTGCCTGATGGTAACATTAATCTCCCATGTAGTATACTTGTTCTTCTCGGATGGTCATTTATGCTAGAAAGTTGTTAAGGTTTAGAAAGATAATCTCTGTATGCTCCTGTCCCAGTGGTATAAATGGAAAGTCAGGCCATCAGTCAGTACTGTGGTCCCTTGTTTTGCCTGGTAGGTAAGGGATGCAAACAGTCTGACGTGAAATTTACCCACTTGCTCCGGACTTTTGCTCTGGAAAGCCTGCCAGTCTCTACGGGAGAAGGGCCAGCTCTCTTGGCCAAGGGCTCCACCTCCCTCCATCTCCTGAATACAGAGAGCCTGCTGTGTCCACTGGGGCCCAGCCGGGGTCTGTGTGGACACAAGCAGAGGGGGAGTAAGTGCACATCTTTGTGCAACTGCTACTACCGCGCAAGTGATGCCAATGATCACTTTACGTGTGTGCATCCTCTGGGCTGTGCAGCCAAACCAACGAGACAACCCAGTTCGGAGTGGCCGGGCAATTTCTGGAGGCGCTCAGAAATCCTTAGAAACTTCTACAGAAAATCTGTAGGGGTGCAGCAGGTCGGCAGCTCCCATACCACAGCGCGAAATCCTTTCCTACCGAGCCGGGTAGGGCCGAGCAGCGCGCGCCTTCTGCCCTCTCGGCTCTTTCTCCGGGCCAGGCCTCTGGGTGCGCGAGGCTCCACTCCCAGGAACTACTGGCGCAGAGGGTCCCATGGGTCCCTCGTAGCTTCACGAAAGGGAGCCTCAGGCTTTGGGGGCGGCGCGGGGAGAAAGCCGGGAACAGGCCGGACTCCCCTCCGGGAGTCTCTGCAACCCCGCTACGGAGAAGCCGGGGGCCCGGATGCACCGACTTGTGGGAATGGAAAACCCGAAGCACGGCGTCGATCAGGGAAAAAAAGAGAGAAACAGAATGGATGCATCGAGCCTTGGCTAGAAGCTTCGCCGCTGCCCCCGCGCGGCCCCAGTCCCCGAACCCCAAACAGCCGCTCGCCAGCCAGCTCCCCACTCACCCACTCGCCACCGCCTGTGCCCCAGCAGCCGCGGGCACCGGGACCGCAACCGCCGGCCCCGCCCAAACCCCGCCCAGCCGCGACCGGGACCACGCCCACCCCGGGCTAGGACCCGCCTATTCTGGGCTCAGGCCCCGCCCAAGACCGAACAGGCTCGACCCGAACCCCGCCCAGGAGCCTCTCTAACCCCGCCCAGACCTCCTTGCTCCCGCTCTAGCCCCGCCCCAGCCCCGCCTCAGCCCCGCCCCTCACGCACGTCCAAATCCCGGTTGCGCACCAGCTTCACGTACGTTTCCCCACTTGTTTTTCTTCTTCCATTTGCATTTCACCCCGTTACCCACTCCATCCTCAGAGAACACTGTGATAGCCAGGGGAAGGAGGACGGGAAATCCCCCAACACCATTTCCCAAACACGCATAACTTGTTTTCTACAGGCCCCGCCCCCAAGGAAGGACTGGGGTATCAGGGAGGACTGACGCAGCTAGCGCCATCTTTAACGTGGGCAGAACCAGACGCCTCTGCTACGCCTCCATTTCCTGTTTGGGAGCGCGTTGCGTTCAGGCGTTTCCCGTTTGCCAAGACGCCAAAGCGTCTCTGTTTGGGCACTGTGCTAGCTGTGCCTGTGGGATGACGTGGGGAGATCCGATAGCCTGGAGCTCCCAGCTGGAGGAACCCCAGAACAAATAAAATCATTGCAAGTGCCAACTGAGCCGGCGCCGCCCTAAATTATGGGAAAGGCTGGCTTTTGGGGGAAACGAAAGCAGAACTAGTAGTGATGTGTGATTTTTGTGCGTGTGATCTGAAGGTAGTGGCACCCAGCAAATACTGGGTGAACGAAGGATTTGATTTTTTTTTTTAATTTAAAAATTTTCCAAGTTTTTTTTTTAATTGAACCCTTGCAAAGCTGTTCATGATTAGGTTTCAGTCATACAGTGTTCCAACACCCATCCCTCCACCAGTGTACATTTCCTAGCACCAGTGATTTTTAAAAATGACACCATAGGTTCATTTAACAAATAAACTGTAAGTTCATCCAGAGTCCTGTTAGGCAGTTTTCTTTCTCCACAATTCATAGTAACCTCAATTTGGGCTTTGGGCGTAAAGTCCTTTGAACATCATTTTTACTATTTGCAAAAAAGTCCCCTCCCCCCGCCCCCCCAGGTACAATCTGCTTCATGTGCTTTCTATTTTAGACTTTGTAATAAAAAAACATCTTGAGTTAAATAAGCCTTATTGGTCTTCAAGTGATTTTCAACAAATTAAATAGCACTTAACATTTGTTATATTTAAGAATTGTATGGTACATCTTTATCATTCACCAAGGAAGAAAGAATTGAATAACCTAATACAGGGTGTGGCCCCCAAACAAAACTAGACCTTTTAGTTGCTACACTGCTTATGACACCAAATAGCTACTTATGACACCAAATAGTCCTTTTTTTTTCTGTGTTTGGTATTATGCACCTCAGTTCACATAAAGAATTACAATTAATCTTCGTAACATATCTCGAATGTAGGTAAAGTCATCTCAGTTTTATATAGGAAATATCTGGGGTTCAGAGTAAAATAGTTTAGGCAAGATCTCTTTCTGGCTGGTTTAGATCAGTTTCCTGCAATTCCAGAACCCATTGAATCCTGAAGACATTAGGCTGGTACTGAGGTGAGGGATCTTAACAGATAGCACTTAGGCAGATAGGTTATAGTTGCACCTCCAGGTCAGAGTAAGAACAGGACTCAGAATAAAAAATAAAGGACAAGAAGATTTTTTCCTTACTTCACCATTTTGCTTAGAAACAAAATAATTGCCCTGCCTCCAATATGTCCCTAGAACACCCTAAGGGAGAAATAAATATCAAGGCCTAAATTTTGCTGGAGAAACGAGGTATGTAATGAAGTTTGCTATGAGAAACGAAGTATGTAATGAATGTGCTCTGTATGTATGATATTTTATAACTAATAAAGGTGGTACCTTTATTATAAAGGAATAACTACTTGAACAATAATTTGGACATTATGCAGTAGTAGCTTATATGAATTTTAATATATCAAAGCCAAGAAGTAAGGCAAGAAAAAAGCAGTGATGACTCAGTACTAGTCATCATTTGTACAAAATGTCCCAGCACAGATCTCAGGGAACCAAAAAGAAGAAAGTTATGAATCCTTATTTGCAGCACAAAAATGATGGCTTTGAGGGTTTTAACTTTTAACCTTTCCAAACTTTTGTTATTAATCCTAATAACCTGCCACAAATAGCTATACCATCTTGGCGAAATTAAGTTTGCTATTGAAATATATATTCAAACAAGAGCCCTGATACCCCATTTCTAATAAGAATAAAATCCTTAAGGGACCAAAGAGATAGGACAGTGGGTAAGAGCACTTACTTTGCACGTGCTCAACTCTTATTTGATCCCTAGCTCCCCATATGGTCTCCAGGAGTGATCTCATGGTCCAGAGCCAGGAATAAGCCCTGAGCACCACAAAGTGTGCCCCCCAACAGAACAAAACAAAAGAGAGGCCAAATGCCTAGCTAGAAAACAAAAATAATGCCCTTAAGATCTTATTGGAAATAATTGAGCTGTTTGCATATAATAAATGAACTGTCATATAAAGAGGTTCTGCAATTAAGAGAGTAAATAGTTCATAGGTTGGAGTCAGAACTGATATTAGTACTATGTCTGCCTTTCGTTACGAGGCTTTGGATAGTATTTAGTTTCTCTGTACTTCAGCTTTCTCAGATTCGAAATGACAAGCAGAGGGGGCTGGACATAGTTTATCAGGAAGGGTGCTTGCTTTGCATGCCACAGATCTGATGATCCCTGGTACTCCTATGGTGTCTTGAGCTTGCCAGGAGTGATCCCTCAGCACAAAACCAGAAATATTCCCTAGTTCTGAGCAGAGTTGGGGGTGGCCCAAAAGCAACAAACAAACAAAGCCCCCAAACCCCAAAACACAAAACAAAAAACCCCACTAAATTTCTCATAGGATTTTAAAAATAAGATTCATGTGTGATCAGACAGCTAAGAACTTAAATCATGGCTCAAATCTCATTTTTCCTAACTATACAAAGATAATGGAAGCACAAACAAATGACTTAAAAACCTTTTAAGGTATGTGCATATTTATGATTCCACTAATTATAATGTCAATGCAGGGAACCTTCTTGCTACATCACAAATGTCAGTTATTGCTGGAAGCCTTTCCTCCATCCTCCATTCATATAGGTCAAAACTGTGTTATTTGCTGCCTTGGAAATGGATCTGAGAATTTGTTGATTACCTCCCATTTACTAGGATTAGGCCAAATTATATTTAACTGTGATTGACATGTGAAATATCGGAGGTTGGATATGGATGAAAACTATTGCTATGAAAATCACGGTGTGTTTAATTTCTTCTAAGTAATGACTTTTATGTGGTACATTACCCTTTGGTTAGAATATGAATAAGACAGCACTTAACTGAGGTACTTTTGGTTGGAATCGTTAGTTCTAGGACTGGTGTAATATAATTTAGAAAGTTTTATTGTAGAAGTTCCCAAATTTAGTTGACCTTCTGCCCCCTTTTTCAGAAATCACCTAGTGCCTGCCTGGAAATATGTTTTTCTTAAGTGAGCAAACAGAAAGTGTCTGAGTTGCAATTGAAGCTACTGCTATACTTTGGATCATTCCAGTGGTACAAGGGGGGAAGAGGAGAGGGCGGTATCACCCACTTTGGGAAACACTGTAAGAGTAGATCCATGTCTATAACTAGCAGTTATTGTTTTAACAACACACTGTTTCGTCAGTGTTCCTGCAAGAGAGAGAGCAGGGCTTACTGCTATATCTGCACTCAGGAATCACTCCTGGAGGGCTTGAGTGACCATATGGGGTGCTGGGAATTGAACTTTGGGGTCAGTTGCATGCAAGGAAAGCACCCTATGTGCTGTGTTATCTTTCCAGATCCTTCCTGTAATCTTAGACAAGAGAGTTAGCTAGGTGTTCATAGAGAATAGAATTTGAAGTCATACCTTGATAGGTGGGCCATCACTTAATGGAATTTCGATACAAGCAGTAGCACACAGTGATGGTTTTGATGCTTCCCTGCTCTATGCCAGAGTCAGAGTGATCAGATGAGCAGCACTCAAGGACAGGGATTCTAACTTCACAGATTTACCTTAGGCTGTCTCCTGGGTCTCAGATGTCTCCCTTGGCTTACATCTCTGCTTCCCACACTCAAGATTTTGTAGGTTTACTTGTATGTCATCATACTTATTTCTTCTTCTTCTTTTTTTTAAATTCTATCGAATCACTGTGAGATAGTTACAAGTTTTCATGGGTGGGTTACAATCACACAATGATCAAATACCCAACCTTCTACCAGTGCACATTCCCCATCATCAATATCCCCGGTATATCACCCCTTTCCCACCCTCCTCCTGCCTCTATGGCAGACAATATTCTCCATACTCCCTCTACTTTTGTGTATTATGATTTGCAATACAGATACTGAGAGGTTATCATGTTTGGTCCATTATCTACTTTGTGCACACATCTCCCATCCTGACCGATTACGCCAGCCATCATTTTCTTAGTGATCCCCTCTCTATTACAGCTGCCTTCTCCCATCTGCTCATGAGGCAGGCTTCCAGCTATGGAGCAATCTTCCTGGCCCGTGTATTTACTGTCCTTAGGTGTCAGCCTCATGTTATGTTATTTTATACTCCACAAATGAGTACAAGTCCTTCTATGCCTGTCCCTTTCTTTCTGACTCATTTCACTTAACATCATGCTCTACATGTCTATCCATTTACAAGAAAATTTAATGACTTCATCCCTCCTAACTGCTGCCATACTTATTTCTGTGTTGCTTTATAAGTAAGTAGGTTCTTGAGTTATTTCACGTGTGATTTTTCTACATTCTCAACTTTGTCAAAAGATAGCAGGGTTTCCTGACACTTGTTTTTAGTACATTTCAGAAGATTGGCAAGTGCCAACTACTGAGAATGACAATGCTTAGACCGGCTCCTATGACGCAAATGGTTTTTATTTGCTGGATTTATTTCGACACCAGTATTTGTCTTTATGAAACCAGGTCAC